GTGTGTGTGTGTGTGTGTGTGTTCACCTCTGTCTGAGTGTGTGTGTGTGAGTGTGTGTGTGTGTGTGTGTGTGTTCACCTCTGTCTGCGTGTGAGCTCTAGTGTCGATCTACTGGCCTGAAATAGTTTGAAAAAAAGATGTCGTTATTACGAGAAAAGATGTCGTTTTAACGAGAAAAGATGTCGTTTTAACGAGAAAAGATGTCGTTAAAACGACATAACATCTCGTTATTACGACATAATTGAGTGGAAAAAATAATATGTGTGCGGCAGCAATGCGTCACCGGACTAAACAAATATAAGCTCTAATGTTTTTATGTAAAAAAAAATTTTTTTCATATATTATTTTCAAACCTTCACGTAATTACGCATTTATCGAACAGTTACAAGTGCGTACTTTGGCAGAATTCAATTCAAGTAGTCATCAGCAGCCATTAGTTCGGTAGAGTTAAGCATCGAAATGGACAAATTATTAAGGGAGAAAAACGAAATGTGTAAAATGCCAGCGAAGGAACACACAGGAGTAGTCTCCGATCCGCAGTGAAGGAGAGCTGGACTGTAGGTTTGCCCGACTCTCTTGAAGATGTTCAGGCAGAAGGAAACACAGACTACGCAGCAAACAGCAGAAATGTGCAAAACATCTCTGGAGAACCTCAGATTATTACATTCGAAAGTGCTTTCCATATTTGGATCAACATACGCTACATTACTGCACGCACATTTTCTGCAATATCTTACAGACTGCAACTTCATTGTGCTGTTACTCGTTTCGAGCCGAATTCACAAAACTGGTCAGCTCCAGGTGTTTTATTAACGGCGAGTAGAATTATTTATTTATTGCAATAAATGTAATCATTTAGATATCATTATCAGGGGCGGATCTACTGGGATGGCAAGTGCCACTCCGAATGATCACAGAATCAAATATAAATGTAAGCAGTGTCTCATGTGCTGCGATGACAGTGTAACGCAAAATAATGTACACCTTCAAGCGTGTGACTGTCAAATTTTATTTGTTACCATTTTTATGTGTATTGCATTTTAGCAGAACTGAGAAATGACTGCCTAGAGTTATAGCTAGTCTTGTGTCAGGAGACACAGAAACTGCTGTAGTGCTGTATACTGGAATGACATTTGGCCAAATGTGCAGAGGATGCTAAATTTACTTTTTTAATTAAATTTTTTACTGTACTGTATTGTGGTGCATGCCAAGTTCATACGATTCTTTGGTATTTGAACTGATCTAGTGATTTTCATCTACTGCAAGATCACTTACAGTCGTAAAATGAAAAAGATTTTTCCCCAGAAGTTCATTGCTGAATTATACATCTGTATCTGTAATTTAATATATATACAGTGGGGCAAAAAAGTATTTAGTCAGCCACCAATTGTGCAAGTTCTCCCACTTAAAAAGATGAGAGAGGCCTGTAATTTTCATCATAGGTATACCTCAACTATGAGAGACAAAATGAGAAAAAAAATCCAGAAAATCACATTGTAGGATTTTTAAAGAATTAATTGGTAAATTCCTCTTGTGATATTTTGTATGCAGTGCTTCATTTTTCAATTCTTGGATTTGTGTGTGAAGTTTTGAAAAAAAAAAAAGAGGCAAAGTTTTGAAAATGTGTGTAAGCAGCTGAAAAAACCTGTAAGAAAAACTAGGATACTCTGGGTGGTTGCTAGGCTCTTGCTATGCAGTTGCTGGGGTGTTGCTAGTTGGTTGCTAGGATACTCTGGGTGGTTGCTAGGCTCTTGCTATGCAGTTGCTGGAGTGTTGCTAGAGTATATGGTTGCTAGAGTTTGTTCTGGGTGATTACAGACATTCCCACCTCTGTTAATTACAGAAAATCAAACAGTTTCAGTGCTTTAATATTATTGTATTTCTTTCTAATGTTAGGAAATTCAAAAGTTTTTGTAGCTCTTAAACTTGCACTTTACTTCAACCTTGGAGTTTCGTCTGAACTGCTCTCTACTCTACTCTGGATTATCGCTGTGGATGATCTTGGACTTTATCCTTTTAACATCCTAAACATCTGCAATACTGTGACGAACCAAGGACATCTGTGGTGATTCAGAACTTTAATGTGAATGGACATTCACATTAAATAAAAGGTTAAAAAAGGTTAAACCATAAAAGGTTTTGTCTCTAAATAGGGACAGACCAGGAGTGCTGTTGCACAATATATGGTTTAGATGTATATGGTATTGGATGTTGTAGTTGTGTGCTCCTAAAGGAAATATAGTATGCTATTCAAAGGTGATTGATCCCCCTTCATTTAAGTTATGTGACATTTGATGTTGGTGACTGTTACAAACTTGTAAATCATTTGTTTAGTTTTTTTATGTCTTTTTGGAGATGGAAATGAAAGCGAAGGAGATGGAAACTTTTCCTTCATGACATTTGTTCATCCAGTGAGTGTACATTTGTCATAATCGGGCGACATGTTATGGCTAATATGAGTCTTTTTTTGTTGTTGTAACTGAGCACTGCACATTTCAAAATTAAAATGCAGCGCAGGTGTTTTTATATGAATGTATCATTGAAAAGAACCGACCGTCTTCAGAAAAGCTTTGATGTCATTTTCATTTCTACTTTACTGTTTCCGGGGAAACCGCTACATCTCCCGCTCCAGCAGCGCCTCCTGCTGGCAGAGAATCAATTTGCATGCGCAAGTCTGAGAAACACTGGTGTCGGTCAACAAACATAGACAAAAAGCATGCTTCAGAACTGTTTTGAGAAGGTGCTTTGAGCCGTGTATTATTACTATGAATTAGGCTACTACTACTACTGTTATTGTATCTTGTGCCCTGCAATAATCATTTACTCAAACTAGGGCTGTGCAAAAAATCGAATACGTTTTTCATGCACATCTCATCAGTAAAACCGCTCCTGTGATCAGTAGTAAATCTCCAGCACATGCTTTCAGATGGAGTGGCATTTACTACACAGAGCCGTAGTTCACTGGCAAGCTACACAAAATCGCGTTCAAAATCGGCAATGAATCGTGTCATTCTGACCGTCTCAGTAACAGTAACGTCTGAGCAAACAAATGACAACACAAGCCAAACACGATTGTCAAATATTAAAAAGCTCTAAACACAACAACAACAAGTGCTGGCAGACTACCTGCACACACACCAACAAAAAGTACCATGGTATTTCCATGGTCTATTTGACTTTACTCCATGGTAATGCCGTGGTATTCTTTGAAGTAAATTATGGTAATCACTCAGTATCAAGGTATACATAAGTACCATGATATTACCATCAGATACATCACAGTACTGTGCCACAGTAGTTTTTTCTAAGGTTTCTTCAGATTGTTTGGTCATACTGTGATGAGTGAGAGAAACAGAGAGAAAGACAGGAGTGAGTGAAAGTGTGTTTGTTTGGGTGTTATCAATGCTCCAGTGAAGTTCAGTGGGTTTGTTTTTTCACCTGTTTCCAATCATCTGCATCCATCTCCAGAACCTCAGCAGGATCGGAGTCGGCCTACCAGGCGGTGTCTCTCTCGCAGCTCCTCCTCGACGGAGCGGCTCATCCGGCTGGACTCGGAGTGCACCGAAGACCAGCTCCTGTCGTGTGCCGTGAGTCAGAGACTGAACTCTCCTCCGTCCTGTGCTGAGCTCGTCATCTCCGTCTGGGTCGAGAGCCGCTTCCTTCAGCCTCGCCGATGCTCCTCTGCTCTTCAGGGGACTAAGGGCCGAAACGTACTGAGGGGAAACAGCCCAGAAGACAACGACTGACACACATGAAACACAACAACGCCCACCACTGGGTTTCATGCGATTGCTTAAGTGTAACGTACTTGGTGACGGTCCAGTTTGGCGATCACATTCAAGTCTGTCTTGTCAGAAATTCCTCCGTGTAGAATCAGAACTTTCTGGTCGATCACTGTGGCCAGCAGCAACCAGCTGAAGATCTTCTGCAGAAGTTTAAGAATCATTTTCCCATAAACCTGTGATGATATCAGAGAAAAGCGCTCAGTAACGCTCTTTCCTGTCATAAAGACAATCACTTGTGTTTGGAGCCGTTTACTGTGAGTTCTCTGATAAGATAAAACGAGTGAAGACACTAATATAGTTACCATTATAGTTATTCTTGGTGTAAACATGACTTGTTTTCTGGCAGCTCTGCACACCTTATTTAGAATTAAATCAGTTGAGTTAATGTCTGTTTAATATAAAGAGATTAAGTCAAATGGTATTAACAGATAAAATACACTATATGGACAAAACTAGGGACATCGGACCATTACATCAAAAGGGACGTTAATGACATCTCATTCTCAATACATAGACATTAATATGAACTTTTCAGGCACTGAATTTGAGGCAGGCAGGTAACGTTCTGCTGGAATCCACCAAACCCAGACTCTCCCATCAGACCGTGTGATCGTTGGCTGCGCAGAACAGGTTTCCTCTGCTCCAGAGTCCAGTGTCAGCTTGCTTTACTCACGCCATCCCACGCTCGGCATTGTACTGGTGATGCGAGGCTTCATGAAGCTCTGCTGCACAGTATTAGTGCTGATATTAATGCCAGTGGAGATCCTCTTCAGCTCTGGAATCAGTGGAGCGTTGGTGACTTTTACACAAAATGAGCCCCAGCACTCGGTGAGCCACTCTGTGGCTTTATGTGGGCTTGTGGCTGCTGTTCCTAAATACTTCCACTTTCCAGTAATACCACTTACAGCTGAAGGTGGAATATCTAGCAGGCATGAAATTTCACACACTGACTTATTGCAAAGACAGTACCATGCTTCAATTCACTGAGCTCTTCAGAACAAATTCTTTCCACAAATGTTTGTAAATGCAAGCTGCATGGCTAGATGCTTGATTTATACACCTGTGTCAATGGGTCTAAATGAACAGGTGTTCCCTAACCCGAACAACAATGTGCTAAAATGGAAAAGTTTTTGCTTTGCGTTTTTCATGTACTGAAGACAACATTGTCATAACCTTCCCTGGTCACACGGATCCAGGCCAGCAGTTGGCAATGCGATTTTTGTAAAGAAATACTACACAAACATGTAATACATATATGCATGAATTAGCATTTTTGTAATTTACACAGAGACAATAATGGTATCACTTTCTTGTGGTAACTTGTGCTTTAAGACCTGTTTTCAAAAGTTTGCATTTTCACATCCCCAAAATGCTGCTGTCGTGTAAATGAACGGCCAAAACACATAAAAGGTTTTCTGTTTTTAGTTGAAAACGGTGTTGTGTAAACAGCCCCTCTATAATTCCTTAAGAAATATAATAATAATACCTTTTATTTATAGGCGCCTTTCAGGACACTCATGGACACCGTACAGTATAAAATAAAACATAAAATGCAAGCATTATAACAACACATTAAACCAGCAAATCATTAAAAGCTATTCTAAACAAATACGTTTTTATTGGAGCGTTAAAATGGGAAATTGAATCCAGCTGGCAAATGTAAAGAGTTCCATAACTTCGGCGCTGCACAACTAAAAGCCCTACCACCAACTGTGTGAAGAGTTTTGAAAAAGTGACTTTAGTATTTAGAAATGTGTCAATCTAGTGATTGTAAAAACCGTAAACACACACACTCCTACAGCTTCCCCTGACAGATGAGAAAGACTGATGACAGATTTATTCACTGATTTTGTAACATGTAAATGAAGCTGCTTTGACAGGAATAATTGTTCTTGTTTGTTTTTGAAGGCGTGCACCAGCTCTGTGACGTTGGAGATGCTCAGCGGGAAGGAGAGATGCAGGCCGGTGTAGACGTCTGGAACCTCAATGTGCTTATAACAGATGCGTCTCTCCCACTCTGTGTATTAAGACACCTCGCTCTCACCAAACATCTGAGAGACCAGATGGCCTGAAGGAGACGCATGTGTCAGTCTATTCAGTTACCCTGAGCACTTCATCAGATCAGACACAGCTGAAGAACTTGCTTCTTACTTCGGCTGTTGGCAGAACTGAAATGATCCATCAGGTAACCGAAGAAATTATACAGCTGCAGAGACACAAACAGCATGAGCGTGTTTCATGTGCAGAAATATTAACAAGACTTTTAGTGCAATAACAGGCCTCTGTGATTGTAAATCTGTGCTTCATTACTCCTGGTGAGACGTATCTGAGGAGAAGATCCGTGTTGTTTCACCTTGATATGATCCTGTTGTCCAGAATACTCTATCGACTGAAAGATGTTCCAGGTGCAGCGGCGTCTCATCTCCAGCCGCGCCACATACTGACGATACCAGCGCCGCCCGCATCGCATCACACAGACAGAGAAAGACAGACAGAGAGAGAGACAGACACAGTCAGGCCAGCAGGAGACATGAGTGACGGTGATGTTTCTTTAGACTCACAGAAACATGCGATCTGTCTGACCTGTAGCTGCTGCATGTGAGAGAAACCAAGAAAAACAGTGTCGTTAACACTCACTGACAACAATGAGACTTACTGAAATAAATGAGGAGGAATTACCTGGAACTGAGATGTTTCCTACAGACAGAGACAAAGTCAGACACAGAGCAATGTGAGCTGTTTCTCAGGCAGATATTCAGCTGAAAGCTCTGAATTTTTTAATCATCTTGTTGGTTCACGCACCTCGATTGCATGGTTTCAGCTGCAGTTGGTTTGATTTTGTGACTTCGCATCCCATGTCACGTTAGTCAGCTGTAAGTACACCTATGAATTCATTCATGTTTCTGATTCTGCTGATCTGAATTTCACTTTTAAACAATGATAAATAATTCCCATCACATCAAAGAGAAATAATGTGACCCATCCTCTTAGTTTGATTAATTGTTAAACCTGTTTTGTACAGAGTAGTTTAGCTCTAATTCTACAAAAGACCTCCAGCCACTGTGCTTTAGAAACAGCAAGAGAACTCCACACTCACCCGCTGAGGGTTTGTCAGAATCCCTCCATGACAGCAGAGCCTATGAAGAAGTGTGACCAACTTCACTCTCAATGAACCTGTAGAGAGAGACAGATGGTGAGATATGGAGCTGATCCGGCTGGATTAGGGTTAATACTGCGGCTCGGCTCCAACCCAGAATAGACCGATAAAGAGCTGCTAAAGGCCTCCGTCCAACTCACAGAACGCTGAACACAGCCACATGAATTAGTTTTTTAATGTTTGTCATTGGCAAACAGACCAGTTCTCCCCGTTCATCACTGGTATATTTAATAGGCTTTATTATAAAAGCAACTGAATTCTACCAGATTTGATCTATTCTGAGTTATCTATTCAAATCATGAGCATATAAATCTACTGTGATGGGACTGAAATAATACGGCACACTATAAGCACATCTTCAGAATAGGGGTTAAAAGTGTATGGGTTTTGACTAATAGGTGAATAAGGTTAGGGTTATGCCAGAAAACACCATTTCTTGAGGTTAGCAGTGAATGAAATGATATTATAAGTTGTCCTCAAATGGCACCGATTTCTCAGAATGGCAGATAAACTGTTGTTTCTTTCTTTAGATTGCCGTTCACACGCAGGTGTTGGAATTCCTCCTGACGCAAGGGAGTTACAGTGCGACGGCCTCAAGGACAAACACGGCCAGCGCTGCTTTGATTCAGTTCATCTGAGGTCAGAAGAGAAACTACAGATGTTACAACAATGTCCAGCTTTGTATTTCTCATGAGAAATGACCTGCGGAGTCAAATAAATATCAGAAAATATGCTTCTTGTGTTTAAACATTGACTGATTAGTGATCAATAACCCAGCTTTAATCCCCAGTCCTGAACATGCGCTCGCAGTCTTGTAAAGTGTTACTAACCCGCTATATTATTTTAGGCCATCGCAATGAGTCAGGAATCCACTGGAAATTCATGTCAGCTGATACAATACAATACAACTTTATTGTCAACCCCAATGGTTGAAAACTGTCTTTGACCACACCATTGCCCTCAAACATACATAACATTAATACCACACAGATATAAAAAAACATATCAGATCGTTCCACCTTTGTGTTTTGATTCAAATATCCAATTACTGCAGGTATAAATTAATTCTTATAGATGATTCTCTCTGCCCTGGGCATTAAATAACATCTTCTAGAAGGCAATAAGACAAACTGATCATTCAAAGGATGAGTAGCATCTTTCAAAATGCACTCAACTTTCCTAACACAACTTGTTATTAAGCTTCTTATTAAGAAACCACAACTAGATCCTAGTGAACTGGCAAATTGCAGACCCATTTCAAATTTTTAGTTTATTTCTCAAATTTTAGAAAAAGTTGTCTGCTCAATTGTGCTCCTTCCTGCAAAAATGATATCTATGAAGAATTTCATCATAGCACAGAAACTGCACTTGTTAAAATTACAAATGACTTGCTTCATGCGTTATCACTTTGTCTATTTAATCAGGGAATCATCTCAGTTAAATCCAGTAAAGTATGGAGTGCCACAAGGATCTGTCCTAGGTCCTCTGCTATTTTCGATATACATGTTGCCCCTTGGTAATGTTATTAGAAAATACGGGATTAGTTTCCACTGTTATGCCGATGATACTCAACTATATATCTCAACAAGACCAGATGAAACTTCTAAATTATCTAAGCTAAC